CCCAGTAATTCAGACAACGCGCCCAGGGGACGCTGGAAAATCTTGTTGGGCCTCCCCCCCCCCTCGCGCGGTCAATCAACTAGTTACAGTAACCAGCAAGAAGTCAACTAGTTACAGTAACCAGCAAGAAGCAGAACTGTAACACTGGAAGCTAGAAACTACAACTGGTACAGGAAACTGCGAATCACGCGCCTCGCAGCCTGGTGGCCCCACAAGGGGGCCGGCGGATTTGGGCTTCCTCGCCGAGGCTGTTTTGGACGCTCCGACCGCTCGCGGAACGCCCCGTCCAGTTCCAGGGGAGGGGGAGGGGGAGGGGTAAACCCTTCTCCGAAGGGGAAGAAGGGGGTGGACGAGAAAACACCCGAAACCACCTACGCCCTGAAGGGCTGGTGAGATTTCCCTTAAGTTTTTGAGGGATTTGGGAGGATTCGTGAGGGGTTTCCGAGAGCACCTGGAACCGTCTTGTGGCCATCTTGGGGCCTCTCGGAGGCACGTTGTTAGTTGTCTTGGGCCATGTTGGGCTATCTTGCTGATCTTGGAGGCCATCTTGGGCTCTCTGAGGCCCTCGTGAAGCCATATTGAGGCCATCTTGGACGCTCCAACCGATCGCGGCCCCTCCCGTCCAGGTCCACGGGACGGGGTAGGGGGAGGGGTAAACCCTTCCCCGAAGGGGAAGATGGTTTTTGGAAGAGGAAAGAAAGTCATCGTTAGACCACCTGCGCCCAGAGGGCTGGTGGGATTTTGATGGAGGGTTTATTGCAACATTGCAGGCAACATTGTTGATGCGTCTTGGGTTTGCACTGGTTCTCCTCCTCCTCCCCCTTCTCCTCCTTTTCCTGTTCCCCCCTCTACACATTCCTCGTCATTATCCTCCTCGCTCTCCTCCATATCTTTACCTTGATAGCTCCGCCCTGTCGCACGCCAGACGTGTCAGTAGGGCGGGCGAAGCGTGCCTGAGACTTCCTCACCACATGCGACACTTAACTTTGAAATTCTTCACGCTTCCCGTAACCCCACCAGCGTGACACTGTGGTGTGCACACGCCGCGTTTCGACGGGTAGCGTGCATCAGGTGCCCTTCCACCCGCTGGGTCTGGGCCGAAACATCTCGGTGTGGTAGTCTTCTCGGAACATGTATACACCTTGATGTCGTTCTGGCGCCGCGGCTCGCTGCCGCCGTCGGGATCCGCGTTGGACTTACCACCTCGTCGCCTGTGCTACCCGACAGGCTGGGGCTGACGTCCTCGGGTCGTTCCCTTGTCCGCACCTGGACTTTGGAATGTTATCGCGCCATTTTGGCTGCGCTTGGTCGTCTCGGTGCCTACCTCAGGCCTGTTGGACGCACCTGCATGCCCGTTCAGGGGCTGTCATGGCACCTGGATTGCATTGGCTTCGCCCCCCTGGACGCTGTCGTGAGCCGCCTGATTTGCGGCCCTGCGCGCGTTAGGTAATTTAGTCGCGTCCGCGGCCCGTTCGCGACCTTCCGCCGCTGGCGCTTCCGCCTGCGGCTGTAAAAAAAAGAAATAACCCCACCAGCCTGCTGGGGCTGTCCCAGGCACTAGAGTTTCTCTCTGGGGCACCAACTTGCGGCCTCTATCCCCCTGGATGACTGCCGCCTCCCCCGGCGCGCTATAGGCGGCCTGGGGCCAGGCCTCCCTCGTGGGCACGTGCCACTGCTAGAGCCACTGCGGTAGCCCTCCTTTGCAGCACCTCGCTGCCCCGCACGCCTGCAGCGCAGACACTCGATGGTCCCTCCGGACTATTTCCTCACCGCTCCCCGACGCCCCCCTCCTCCACCGGCTGACCCACTGGACTTGCCTGGGCCGCCACCCCTTAGCTGGAGCCTCCCACTAACTCCACGGCGGCGGCCTGCCACCCTTCTCTTGTTCTGCTGCCCTCCGTGCGCTGACCACGGGCGTTTTCACCCACGGCCGGCTCAGTGCTCGCTGCTGCCGGCCGCACCCCCGCTCGCCGTGGCAGGTCTCACGCGGCGCGGCCTCTGGTCGAACTGGCACCTGTCTCCGATTGTCAGGAGGGGAAAAAACACACAGACACAATGTTTCGTCGAGTCCCAGGGAAGTATGCGAAAATATGGGAAGTGGGGGGAAGACAAAAACCCAGAAAATCTAAACAATATAAGGAATCTTATTATTTGTGTGTATTTATTTGTGTGTCCTGGGGCCCCTTCAGATTGGCCCTCGGGCTCCGGTGGCCTGTCCTGCCCGCCGCCCGCTCCACGCCGTTGCGGTTGGCTGCTGCGCTGGGGTGGAACGGGATGTGGTTCCCTACCCCTCCTCGGTGGATCGGGCACAAAGGTCTGACCCTGGCCACTTCACCTTCCACGCGGCTGTTCGCCGCGCCCCAGGTGTTCCATGACTTCGTCGCCCCTCCGTCGCTGGCCCCCTCGTCCTCACTGGCCGGCTCTGCCTTTTCCTGTCACTTCGCGGCTGTTAGCTGCACCCCACCAAAGCATCCACATGTCTCAGGCGTATCCTTTTCCCACTATACCGCGGTTGTCAGCCGCATCCCATCCGAGCATCGGCAGTTCTCAGGCCTAACAATATCCCACCATCCCGCGGCCGTTTGCCGCACCCCAGCTGTGAAAACACATGTCTCAGGCGGAACTTTTTTACCACTCTCCCGAGGCCGCCAGCCGCTCCCCAGCTGTGCATCGGCGTGTCTCAGAAGGTGCCATCCCAACTACCCGCGGCTGTTAGCCGTACCCCAGCTGTGCATCGTCAGGTCTCAGGTGTTTCCTTTCCCCACCACTTGCGGCTGTCAGCCGCACCCCTTCTCATGCTGCGGCAAGCCCAGGCGTCGCCCGTCCCCATTTTTTCGCAGCTGTGGGCTGCACCCCACTTGTGCGTCGTCCCGCGGCTGCTCGCCGCACCCCATCCGACCACACAGACGTGGTTTGTACTTTCCCTTCCGCGGCTGTCAGCCGCACCCCAGCAGGGCATCTGCATGTGTCAGGCGATACCAGTTCCCACCTTCCCGCGGTTGTTAGCCGCACCCCAGCTGGACATCGACATGTCTCAGGCGAAACCACTTCCCACCTTCCCGCGGCTGTCAGCCGCACCCCGGCAGGGCATCGGCATGTCTCAGGCGAAAACCATTTCTCTTCTGCCCGCAGCTGTTAGCCGCACCCCAGCTGTGCCTCGTCAGGTCTCAGGCGAAACCGTTCCCTACCATTCCGCGGCTGTTAGCCGCACCCCTCCACATGCTACGGCAAGTCCTGGCGCCACCCTTTCCCATTTTTCCGCGGCTGTTAGCTGCACCCCACCTGTGCGTCGGACTGTTTCAGGCGGGACCGTCTCCGACCTTTCCGCTGCTGTTAGCTGCGCCCCCACTAGGCCTTGGCACGTTTCAGGCGGATCCTTCACTTATCACCCGCGGCTGTTTGCCGCACCCCCGGGGCGCGCTGGCTGGTCCCAGGCGATATTGGACGTGCTCTTTCCACCTTTCAGCGGCTGTCAGCCGCCCCCCATCGAAGGTAACCGATTCTCCCGCGACTGTTAGCCGCCCCTCTCTGCCGGGCGCTTCCGGCCCTCCGTGTTCCCCCCGGGGCACGCGGGCCGGTAGGTTCCCTATTCGCCCGCGGTCTCGCGTCGGCCCTGGAGGACCGCCGTTTGGTCAGCTACCTGTACCTCGGTGCGAACGCGACTCGCGCCTCCATGGACACGGTCTCCGTTGACGCGGGCTGCATCTGGGTCCCCCGCCGGCTGGCGCACGATCGCGGTTCGGTTTTGGTTCTGACAAGCTCGAGGCCATCGACGTCTGACGGCTGGCGTGGTTCTGGAGTACGTACCCGATCGCCCACTCGCTGCACGCACTCGATGTACAACGGGGCCCTGGTGGTCACCTGCCCGGCCCTTCGCCTCTGAGCTGCGCCGCGTGCGTTTCTCTTTCTCGCTCCTTTCGTCGTTCTCCCGTCTTCTTCGCTTTCTTCTTTTCTTTTGTCTTCTTCGTTCGTGTCGCTCTTTCCTGCTTCGCCTCGTTTTCGCCGCTCTTGCGCAGCCTCTGCGTAGTGGCCCTGCACATTTTCCGCCGCCTTGCACTTGCACGGCTTCGCGCTTCACTTGACCTTTCGACGCCGCGCGGGTGTCCGCTCGCGGTCGCGATCAAAAAGTATCCCCGCCAGCCCATCCAGCAGCGAGGCCCGCGCGAGTTGCCTTGACGAGGGAAGTGGAGGAGCATGCAGAGAAACAACGGGCTGGGGAAACTTTCGCACTGACCCCAAGATGGGGAGGATGGAGGAGGAATCGGAGGAGGAGGATGAGGAGGAGGAGGAGGAGGGATAAGGGAGGAGGAGGAGTAGGCGGATGAGGAGGAGGAGGGGGGTCGATCGATCGAGCGAGCCTTAGTGGCGATGGTCGGCTTGCCGCCTACTTGCAAGGCTGCGTTTGAAGAACTTGTTCAAACCGTCCTAGCTGTGTTCTCTTCGCGCTGGGTGAGCTGGCGCCACGAAGCGCTCGGGCCCGACCCGCGCCAAGAACCCCGCGCAGGGGCGCAGGGCGGGGTAGCGCCCGCTAGCTACTCGCGGACGCCTACCTGCCCTGCTACCCCTGGTCTATTCCCTGGGCTCGCCCCCCCTTGCACCGCACCTTTGGCTTCGGTTCGGGCGGGGGGGGTCGGCGCATCAAATAATATGTTGGAGAACCTCGTCCCTGAAAGTGGAGAAGCTCAGGAGTGCCTTGAGTCGGGTGAGGGGGTCATTTACCATTCGCTACAAGCTCTCGAAATCGGGAGCTCGTATCGAAAACTCGGCACTGCGCGGGGGATCCTCTCACCCAGAATTTGGCGCATGACTATTCGATTTTCTTCACTGTCCCCTCTCGCGCGTTGACTAGGCGGCCTCGCTCCCTCTCCAGCGCTCGCTGCGGCGCCGTGCCCATTCGGCGTACTGCTCCTTCCTTCTTCAGTTGGGTGGTGAGCACCGTTGCGATCTGACCGACGGCATCTAGAAACGCTGCGACGGGCCCCGGTGGACCCTCCCCGCAGGATCTGGACGTGCGCCGATTGCGCGGGCGACGAGGCCTTCTCAAAGCCGGACGCGTTCCTGCCGAGGGCGCTGGCGGGCTACGCGGCGGAACCATCATTGCGATTGCAGGGCGCGGCGCCGGCCCGCCTCATGACGCTGACCTTCGATGAGGAGACAGTGGCGCGGGCGGCGGTGGTCATCGGCGGACCATTCGAAAATTACCGCGACTCCTCCGGCGTTGTCACTGTCTTCGGCGACGGCTCGGGCGGGCTCTTCTCCGCCGACCCGAAAAAGAGGAGGTGCGGCGCTGCGATCGCGGTCTTCGCCCTGGGATCCGACGGAAGTGGCAAGCCGTTGCCGGGCGCTCTGTGCCACGCGTCGGCTCGCGGCAAGATTGTGACGTTCGTGCTGACGCTGGAATCCAACTCTGGCGCGATGAACTTCGTGACTGACCACAAGCCGCTGCAACGTGCCTGGGGGCTCGACTGTCAGCCCTCTGCGACCGCAGCTTCGCGAACGAGGATTTGTGGCTGCGGGCGCGGGAGGCGGTGGCAAGTTCGGGGGGCCAACGAGATACAGGTCGAGTGGGTGGCGTCGCATGCTGACGAGCAGAGCATGCGCACCTTCTTGCCTCCTCGCGTGCCCTTTTTCTGGCGCTTGGCAATGCTGCAGCACATGCTTGGGTTGGGCAGGCGGCCGAGGCGGTCTGGCAGGCCAGCCTGGTCGGCCCCGAGCCTCGCACGGACGAGTTCGATTCCAGCGCCGCCCTCGTCAGGCCCCGCGCGCGCAAGGCGCCCGAGTGGGCGTCGGAGTCCGACGCTGAGAGAAGCCGGCGGCTCGTTTGGCAGCGGCGGAGAGCGCCCACCTGGTGGCGCGCTGTGGCAGCAAGTGGGCCTGCCCGAGGTGCCGCGGACTCGTGCAGAGTCGCTGTTTTTGTTGGCCCTTCTGCAGCACGCCTCGCACGGGACCTGCTGTCGCCGAGGCCAGCTTGGCGGCGGCGGCCAGCGGGGGCGGCCCAGCTCGTGCGCCTGCGGGCGCCGCCCCGTGCGGCGTGGCGTTGCACGTTTCGCACGTCGTGGCTCATTGGGCCGAGTTGTGCATCCGTTTCTGCCGCGCGTGCGGGAGGTGCAACACGGGCGGCCAGCGCCCCTTGGGCGGCGAAGCGCCTCGGGAAGGCGGGGAAAGGCGCGGGGCGTGCCCGCGCGCAGCGAATCCGGGCTGCGGCCGTGACCCAATGCAGTCCATGAGCATTGTTTCCTGGCGAGTGCTACGCGGGGCACGGTGTGAGCAGTGTAGTGCCAGACGCCGGTAGTACATAGGTCCTGTGCGTGGCAGCTCTACGCGGCAGTGTGTTTCGTGTTTTTCCCCGAAAGGGCGTGGGCCCAGGGTTCTCTTTTAGTATGTAAACATGTCCCCGGTGCCCAACTTGAAGGAGGCCGGCGAATTTTTTCCCTGATAAATATCGAGGTCGAAGGAGGCCGGCGAATTAACATTTGAGGATGTCTCAGGCGAAACGCTTGTTTTTGAAATCCCGATCGATAAATCACAGGGTGCGGGCCACTTTTTCGTGCGTTGAGGATGTCTCGAGCGAAACGCTTGCTCCGCAGAGTTTGCCGAGGATGTCTCGAGCGAAACGCTTGTTTTGTAGAACTTGAGGGATCTGGGCACCCCAGCGCCACCACACCCCAGCACGACCCCACCCCAGCACGACCCCACCCCAGGACCAAACCCCAGCACGACCACACCCCAGCATTACCCCACCCCAGCACGACCCCACCCCAGCAAGACCATCACCCAGCACGACCACACCCCAGCACGCACGACCACACCCCAGCACGACCACGCCCCAGCACGACCAGCACGACCACGCCCCAGCACGACCACGCAGCACGACCACCCCCAGCACGACCACCCCACACGACCACCCCAGCACCACACCCCAGCACGACCACGACCTCACCACAGCACGACCACGCCCCAGCACGACCACGCCCCAGCACGACCACGCCCCAGCACGACCACGCCCCAGCACGACCACCCCCCAGCACGACTACCCCCCCAGCACGACCAACCCCCTAGCACGACCACCCCCCAGCACGACCACACCCCAGCACGACCACTCCCCAGCACGACCTCACCACAGCACGACCTTGGTTGAGTGGTTGCCTGTCGTCGTGGAATGTTTCGTGGGGTGTCTCGTGGACTGTTTCGCGGGGTGTCTCGTGGAATGTTTCCAGGCAAACGTTGAAAACGGTCGCCCGTGTCTCGTGGAATGTTTCGCGGGGTGTCTCGTGAAAGTGCCCGTCGCCCAATACGGTGTCGTGAAAGCGTTTCCATGCATGCGGTTCTATATCCCTTTCCGGGTTCGTGGGTCGATCATGTTTGTTGTGCCCGACAGGGCACCGCCTGCAGCTGCTTCTGTGGGCGGCTGGGAGAAGGGAGTAGTACCCGTCGTCCGTGGGGTGCCTCCCGTTTGGGTGTTGGCCATGTGGTTTAGGGGCGTCAGTTCCTAGTCCAGGTGGCGGTGCTTCACCTGAAGGGGGTATGCTTCGGGCCTTCGGGGTGGCCAAAGGTTCCAAAAAGGTTCCTCCTCCTCCTCCTCGTGTTCCTCCCCCTCCTCCCCCTCCTCCTCCTCCTCCTCCTCCTCCTCCTCCTCCTCCTCCTTCCTCCTCCTCCTCCTCCTCCTCCTCCCCCCCTTCCTCCTCCTCCTACTCCTCCTCCTCGTCCTCCTCCTCCACCTCCTCCTCCTCTCAAGCACGAGGTGCCCGAGCCTCGTAGTACCATTTTGTTGGCTGTAGTGTGCTCGGAACTCCCAGTATCTTCCCGTGGCGCTTGAGGGGCACGCTTCGCGACTGGAGTTGTGCGACTTTCGTCGGTAACTATCTTGTGGGCGTTGGCTCGACCTGGGCAAATCTTCTTTGGGATATACGGTCGAGGGTTTGGGCCCCCCTCCCCCCCAATGCTAATGCCATCGCCCCCCCTCCCCCCGCGCGATGGTCCCCCCCCTCCCCCCCCCTGAGGGCGTCGGCGTGGCGTGGTGGCCCCCTCCCCCTGTGGGAGTGGTGTGGGGCCCCCCCTGTGGGTGTGCGGTGGTTAGGGGTCCGCCTCAGCCACGAGTCGGCGTCGCTGGCGCCGCCGTCGTGTCGTCGTCGTCGTCGTCGTCGTCGTCGTCGTCGTCGTCGTCGTCGTCGTCGTCGTCGGAGGAGGAGGAGGAGGAGGAGGAGGAGGATAAAGGAGCATCGGCATCGGCATATGCATCGCCGTCCCAGGCATGACGTAAAACTGCTGTGCTTCAGGTGCTTCAGGGAGCTGGAGCGGACGGTGCCTTCGTCGTCGTCGTCGTCGTCGCCGTCGTCGTCCTCCTCCTCCTCCTTCTCCTCCTTTTCCTCCTCCTCCTCCTCCTCCTCCTCCTCTCCTCCTCCTCCTCCTCCTCCTCCTCCTCCTCCTCCTCCTCCCCCCCCCTTCCATCTGGGGGGGGGGGCCCGAGGACCCTGGGACCCATTCCGTCTGGGGGGGGGGCCGTGGGCCCGGAGCCCGCGATCATGGCAGACGCTGCGGAGGCCGCTATTCAAGCACGTGTTGACTCAGTGTCACAGTCAGGGCCATATACGCTTTCAGATTGGGTGGTGTCGAGCTTTGCATACATGTGCACGGTGGCTATCGAACAACACACAGCGCCAACCCTGCGCCATATGTGTTAGTGTTGTTCGACGTGTCAGAGGAGCAGGACAACCGGCTCTTCTCATTCAATCGTGCGTCTGGCCACCACAGTAGTGCTGGGCCTACCTGGAGCAGTTGATGCAGCGCTACACAGGCCACAAGCCCAGCCATCACGACAAATGCCGCTTCTACGAGGTTGTCATATTCGAGGCCATTGTCGGGCAGGTGCAGTCGGGAACCATGGTTTCTATCAACAGGCAGAGTGACAATCTCAAGGCAGGGAGTACATCGTCGTTGCTCGCGATGCTTGGTCACATTCCAGGCTGTGCGCCGAAGCAGCGCGGCATGGGCGACAACGGGATGACTCAAGCACTGCAGGGCGGTCATTCTCTTGTGGCGAGAGTATCGACCAACGGGCCGCTCGACCCGCAGGTGCACGTCGGCTCGCGGGGGTATTTGACCTAGTGGACAGGTGCGGGGCTGCGTCAGCACAAAACGAAGGTAAGTTTCTTCGGTGAGCATGGTGGGTCGCTGGTTATGGGGTGTGCTACAGGCTTGCTCTATCACCAGCTTGTGCCCAAGCCGATCAAGGACTGAAGCAAACCTGAGGTCCCGTCGCTGCAGGCTCTTGATGGCTACGTGGGCACGTGCGCCGAATTTCATGAATGTGCGCGAAACCATCGGGTTAGTCAGGTCTTGTCAGGATATCTCACCAAAAACAGGCGCCCTTCTTTGCGGACGGCCCCTACACGTGCCAACTTGCAGCCGCACGCCAATTTAAATGCCGCCATCATGTGGTACCACGCACCTGTGGTTGCTCAGGGCGGTCGTGGTGGACCCTCGCAAACGAGCTGTCTTCCACGTTCGACTGAGGTGCGGGCTTCGTGGAGCAGTTCGGGGCGTACGGTTTTATAATCAGCTGAGCCTGGCCAGCGCAAGGCAGACGCGTTTTGGCTGAGCCTGGCCTGCGAAAAAGGCAGTCGTACCATTGTAGTGGGAACTTTTACAGCGGAGTTTCACACTTCTTGGGTCAAGTGCCACATCGGTCGTGGCTGCACAAATCGTTGTATTACTTGTCTCGTCATGGCAGGCTGGTAGCATTCAATTTCGCGCAGCTGGCGGATCTCAGTGCAACTGTTTTGTTCCCGGAAAGGGCAAGAGCCCAGGGTTCTCTTTGTACTAGGTAAACCTGTCCCCCGGTGCCTGCTTGAAGGAGGCCGGCGAATTTTTTCCCTGATAAATAACGAGCCGGCGAATTGCCGGCGAATTTTTTCCCTGGTAAATAACGAGCCGGCGAATTGCCGGCGAATTTTTTCCATGATAAATAACGAGCCGGCGAATTAAAATTTGAGGATGTCTCGAGCGGAACGCTTGTTTTTCAGAAAATGGTGAGGATGTCTCGAGCGAAACGCTTGTTTTGTGTTATAGAATTCTGAGGACCACCTCCCAGCACGACCACTCCCCCAGCACGACCACCCCCCAGCACGACCCCACCCCAGCACGACCCCACCCCAGCACGACCACACCCCAGCACGACCCGCACCACCAGCACGACCACTACCCCAGCACGACACCCCAGCACGACCCACGCCACGACACACCCACAGCACGACCACACGACCAGCACGACCACACCCCAGCACGACCACGCCCCAGCACGACCACGCCCCAGCACGACGACCACACCCCAGCACGACCACGCCCCAGCACGACCACACCCCAGCACGACCACAGCACGACCACACCCCAGCACGACCACACCCCAGCACGACCACACCCCAGCACGACCACACCCCAGCACGACCACCA